CTGTCCACCAACACCCCCAGGTCCTTTTCCACCAGGCAGCTCTCCAGCCACTCCTCCCCCAGCCTGTAGCGTTGCATGGGGTTGTTGTGACCCAAATGCAGGACCCGGCACTGAGCCTTGTTGAACCTCATACAGTTGGCCCCGGCCCAAAAACAGAAACAGCCCTACAGACCCCAAGATCAGGGAAAAAGAAGGGGGAGGAGATGGTCTAGACACCAGAGTAAAGATTCCCCTGCAGCTTGCGGAGAAGACCATAGTGACACAGATTGTCCTCCTGCAGTCCATGGAAGAACACAGTGGAGCAGATATCCATGCTGCAGCCCATGGAGAACGCCACACCACAGCAGGTGGATGTGCTTTGAAGGAAGCTGTGGCACATGAAGAGCCCATGCAGGAAGAGGCTCCTGGCAGGAACTGCAGCCTGTGGAGAAGAGCCCATGCAGGAGCAGGTTCTCTGGCAGGATCTGTGACCCCGTGGGGGACCCATGCTGCTGGAGCAGTTCTTGAAGAAGTGCAGCCTGTGGGAATGACCCATGTTGGAGCAGTTTGTGAAGGACTGGATCCTGTGTGTGGGAGCAGGGGAATAGCATGAGAGGAAGGAGCAGCACAAATGAAGTGTTATGGACTGATTGCAAGCCCCATTCTCCATCCCTCTGCGCTGCTTGGGGCACGGAGGAGGTAGAAGAGTCAGGAGTGAAATTGAGCCTGGGAAGAAGGGGGTGGGGTGGGGTGAAGGTGTTTTTAGTTTTGGTTTTATTTCTTGCTATCCTACTTTGTTATTAATTGGCAATAAATTAATATTTCCCAAGTCAAGTCCGTTTTGCCTGTGATAGTAACTGGTAAGCGTGATCTCCCTGTCCTTACCTTGACCCATGAGGTTTTCATTGTACTTTCTCCCCCTGTCCCACTGAGGAAGGAGTGTGAGAGAATGGCTTGGTGGGCACCTGGCAGCCAGCCAAGGTCAACCCACCACAAACTGGTAGGCAGATCTGTCAGATACTGCCTCATTGCTGAATAAAGTAAGTATATTGCCTGGTAGGTACAGATTAATAAGGGGTTTACCCTTTTTAAGAAGCAGCTGCTGGAATGATTCCTTGATAGGTAACACAGATAAAAATCTTGGGCTGTTACTTTTAAGTAGTCCCTTTGTGATACTAAGGCTTGTTTCCCAATATTGCAAGATGCTAATGATTAGTAACTATAGATGTTATAATGATGACAGAGTTGTACCTTTTTCTTGTAGAGCTTCATAAATCTGTCTTTGAGTTCAATAAAAGTTGGTTTTACACAGGTGTTGTTTGCTAAAGCCAGAAGGGAATGGGAATGGCCCACAGGAGGTACCGAACACAAACCAGTTTTCCAGCCCTCTTGATTCCAGGAAACAAAGTGCAGGGAAGGCTTCAACCTGTGATACAAAAATTTACAGTTACCTAGGGAAAGTAAAGAACACAAAGCCTAGAGTTTCCTTAGCTAACAAACAGTCTGAAAAGGTTAACATTAAAGCTTTCAGGACTAAGCAAGACAGTTATAACTAGCATTTTGAATAAGACATTTTAGACTTCAGACTAAAACAGTATGTGTATTTTAAATTTATACTGCAAACACCAATTTTGTTTTGTTATTTTAACGTATCAGCGTTTGAAAAGTAAAGTTACAAGCACCTATTTCTGTAAAGGACTGCAAGCACTCTGAGATTTAGGAGAGGGGCAGATTAATACTGTGCAGGGACAATCAGTCTACCTATAGTTTAGAAGTAAGTAAAATGCTTTCGATTCTCAGAGATTTTCCCCACATGCCCCTGTCTGCCTGTAAAATCCATCCTGTATGTGAAGCTTGCCTGCCTTTCCTGTTATAACTATGTAGATCAATAGTGTAAAAGGTAGAAAACAGTGCTAACAATACAGAGTTATGAAAATAAGGATGATTCTCCTATCTACACAAGAGTAGCCATGAAAGAGAGGAGGCTCCTGTTAGAAAAAAACAAACTTCTACTACAGAACCTATTCCTCCAACATCCCTTACTGGCAGGAGACCTCTGGAAGGTCGGGCTTTGCTTTCTTTTGCATTTTTGAGAATGGGAGGAGCAGCACAGGGACATCTAGTCAGCTTCCTTTATTTAGAAATCCAAGAATGCGGTGACTTATTCTAACTCATTAAGTAAATTATTTTCTTCCCTTCTGAAATGAAGAAAAATATTTCTGAGTAAACTGATTTGGTATTGAGATTCTTCAGATGAAAAGTGAGAGTGCTCTGGACAACTGACAACCGTTTCAATAACAAATACCATGACTACTTGGTGTGGAATTACAAACCTTTCAATATTTCTGCGAAGGTCTGAAACCTGCACATTTCCTCGAACGAGAAGTGCACAGGCAAGGTAGAGGCTATGCTTTGGATCTGCTTGAATTAGTTGATGATCCCTACTAAAAGCATCTGAAAACATCT